AAATCAAAGTTTTTGATTTAACGAAGCCTCGATATAACGAACAAATTTCCCAAGTCCCTTGGCACTTCGTTAAATCGAGGTTCCGCTGAAGTCTTCAACTAAGTAATTATAATGGCAATTGTTGGACATTTGGCGGTAGCGTTTTTGAAAATCCAGTTAGATGTACATTATTTAGACATTTCGGTTGAGCGGAAATCAGCGATCTTAGCACATGCCCTAGCCTCCCACGCAGACGTTCTTAGGGGTTCGTCACGCGTTCCTGTCCCACTAGGTTCGACCCAAACATAGCGGAGTTCTTGATGCGAGGAATTTGAAAAGGATTGTCAACCGCAATTTGCAGCGGAAAACCTGTCTGTTATCCGAGCTATTGGCCAAGAATAAAAGAAAAAAAAATAATAATAATTTTCGAAGAAAAAAAGTTTTGGAAAATCCGAGCATCGATCCCAGTACCTCTCGCATGCTAAGCGAGCGCTCTACCATTTGAGCTAATCCCCCGGAGACGCTAGATTCCTGTTATAATTAGATTGATTTTCTTGTTCTTTACGAGCGTTCTGCGTCTATGCAGGGATTTTAAGTCATGGCTACTGCTAATGGCTGGAATACACTGTTAAAACAGTTTAACAGTTTAAAAATTCGTAAGATAATTATTTAAAGTGGCTTTGTTTGCCCGTTCAAGGTTTTAATAGAGCGTTTATAACATGTACTGGCATGCAGTGATTTGCATAACTAGAGCAAACAGCGACTACCATTCTCTGCGCTTGACAAAAGCCAGTAACAAAGGAAAAAGGACAGTAAGAAAACAGATTACAGAAAATCTTCTTGAGTCTTTTTTTCACGAAAGCCAAGGGAGAACTTCCTTTAGATTTTTCGACTTCCGAACACTGTTCTGACTTCCGACTTCTGTCTGAAAAAAAATAAGAAACCTCTCCTCGGTTTTCTGTCGTATTTTTTGGACTTTTCAAATTATTTTCTTTATTTTCAAGTTAAGTTAATAAAGTAAGATACATAAGGGATGGAAACGTGTCTTGCCTTTGAATTCCAATAGTTCTCAAGAAAACTCTCAATTAATTAGTTTAGCTTTGAGAAAGCAGCGGAGGTCGATTCATGAATCCCTACCTTTGTTCCGGGATTTCACGGGGCTGTTATGTAGTAATGCCGCGAACTGTCAGCTGGAGTTTCTTGGGTTAGCAAACTAAAATACAAATCAGTGTAGCACCGTGTCATAGTTAATTGAGTGTCTCCTCTAATAACTATGCACCGTGTTGAATGACTGATGACCATGATGAATAGGTTTCACTTCAGTGATCTCGCACCATCATCAGGCAAAATCTTATGGTCAGTGGCCATATATTTTCGTCGACGGAGCTTTTACTATTATTAAAAATCAAACGTTTAAATAATAGAACGAAATGCATATCTCCATGATTGCTGACCGTGCGAAGAGAAAAAGTTTTTCAGAATTTGCACTTTTCACTGGGTCGTTAATGCTTTGTTACTCATTACATCATTAGACGGTTTATAAAATTATTCATTTTCGTTCAGTCCTTTATAACAAAAGTTCGTTATTCTTTTGATGAGATAGTACTCTGAACACTCATTATTTCCTGATGAAATGTGAATTGTTGCCTAATTCAGTTTTGACCATGCCAGTTTAAATGATTCTACTAGAACAGTTTTGAAAACATTATTGGTGTACGAATGAACTAAACGGGCTTCAAGATATTTGATCACAATTTCGCTAACAAATTCAAGTCAATGTTTTGGAAAACTTGACTGATCAATTAATATACAAGGGAATAGAGTGTGTGGCTGATTTCCTTGTACTCAAGTTAGAAGAAACCAGAAGTTCAAATGTTTCAAATAATCACTTCATATACGTCTATTAACAAATTACAATATGAAAAGAATATTACGTCATAGCCCCATGATAGACGTACGTTGCCGATAATGATCGAGGTTTTAATTGACCGAGGTGTCAATTAATACGATTGTCAAGTACCATCCAGCCGTCAAAATGAAATACAAACAAGCTTTGATTCGGAAAAGCGCATGTAAAATTAAAAAAATAACTTTGTCACCTAGTAAGCGGATTTCTATTGGAAGTCGCGAAAGGAAGTTTATCGAGAAATAAATCCTGTGCGATGGCTGCATCTCCAGGAAATATGTACCAAAAACAGGCGTTAAAAAAGCGACAAACTGCGTACCTACAACCTTCTTCAGGATCTTTGTCTAGAAACGATAAACAAAAAGCAGAGAAAGACATTCCTTTACATGTTCAACCTCCTTCGAGCCCGACGCTCAATCGTTCGCCGAACAACATGAGAAAGTTTAGTCAAATATCTTTACGTTCAGACTCTTCGGGTGACCAACACACAGATGCCAATGGTAATGCCGCAGCAATTACTGCCACTCCTAATAAACACGCCCGTTTTAAACACCACCAGGTAAGATACGGAATTTACAGACCGCCCTAAACGATTATCAGACTTTTGCGAGGTAAGTTTATTGAAGATTGTGACATGGTGTCTTTTGAAAGAGCGAGGCATTATTGACTTTAGTATTAGCATGGGCAATCAGAGGTTTCATGCCGGTATTCCATCGAATGACATGCACATATTTTCTGTTGAGAGTTGATGAAGAAAATTATCGAGTGGTGGTATTAAACTAAAAGTGAGGCTCAGTTGAGCATTTTAGATAACGTTTTTTTTTTATGAGATAGAGGTCATTTAAAAAAAAACTTCCAGTTCCAGAGCTTTATAGCGGGTCACGTATAGTCTAAAATAAGTAATTTAAGATTTCATGTTCCTTTCTGCGAACTACCCTAAATAAACAAGTTTTGCTAGAATAAAGTCAATTATAAAGCTTAACGCTCTATGAATTTAAAGCCCGGCTTAGGGAAAGCATTTTGCTTTATCTAAGGGCGATATTGTTACATCGTAAGGGTGTGTATTTGAACGGACTTTTAGTCTCTCAAATCTACAAGTACGATGCTGAACAATTACTTTGCATCCTACAGAAAGCTGGTAACATTAATCTAGTTTTTATGTTATCCATATAAACCTTAGAAACTGAAATCGTAAATATGCCGTGTTGTCGGACTTTCAGATGTAACAATTCTGCAATGACGGGATGAACTTCCTTTGTTTGCCATTACGTTCCGCTAGCTTGATAGCGACATGTAATTCCACTGAAGTGCATGCAACAAGTTTACTGTATGGCTCTTAACGATATTTTCAACTTTCACAAAGTGAGACAGCTTTAACTTATTTAAACTCCTTAATAACGAGTCGCTTTACGGAGCAATTACTGTCCTACTCATGAGTTCGAGTCAATAACCTGAATGAAAAGGCGTCAAAGGCGTCTGGGCAAAGCGAGGGGAGTGTGAGCTCATACTGGGTCACTGATCAAAATTTCCTCTTTTTGCTCTTTTGCTTTTCCTCTTTTTTCATCCTCATCTCATCCCTTCTCTGCCGCTGTAGACGAACGATCATTCGACGCAGCTATGCCCCAGTTATTTCCAATAAAGCTTTATTAAGAATTAATTACCAAAACACATAGCAGGTTGGAAGTCGTTATGTAAAGCTTCTTTGTTTGTTTTCACCTTCACAGAAAGCCGGCAAGGGAAACAAGCTGCAAAAATTACATCTTGCTGCTTTATCAGGAAATGAAGGAGAGGTTCAAAAATTGCTTGGCAAAGGAGTTGGTAAGTAAAGTCCAAACGCTGTGAAGTGCATTTAGTGTTCGAAGTTAAAGCGTTTCTTTATTGTTGTTGTTTTGCTTTGGCCAGTCCTTCGACAGTCTTGAAGTATCTGGCTGAGATATCGCACGAAACTCTCTCTCAAATGTTTCGTATAGCTTCTGAGGGTCTGAATGGGGGGTCCACTTGTCGGTTGTCGGTTAAAATTCAGTAATTTTGTCGGTAGTCGGTTAAAATTCTCGATCTTTGTCGGTAGTCGGTTAAACTTTTCGATTTTCGTCGGTTGTCGGAAAATCTCAGTTAATAAGTAAAAACGCTTGTTAATTATTAATATGTTTATGTATTTCACCCACTTTTCAAGACTTTGATCCCTAAGGAAAGAGTAAAACTTGCAAGAATGCATCATTTGATTGCGCCTAAACCGTTCATTAACTCTTGTTTTTTTATGCAACATGATCGTTTATTTCATCATTGTTTGCCATCAAATGAATGATAGTACTGATAAAATTACCAAAGCTTTTATCGTAAATGCGAACTTGATTTCCCTGTCGACTACAGGGCACAGTAAAAAGTAATTAATTAATAATTAATGACTGTAGCGTTTTGGATACTTGAATTAATTTTAGTGAAAAACTGCAAGGGGTGACAGGCTGCACATCTATCCCTCTTATGTTTTGGTTCTAACAAGCATGTCCTTTGCCATAATTTTCCTTTTTCAAAGAAATAGCACTTTAGGTGGTTCTTTAAAATTTTGGCAAGGTAGTGGTTGGTTTTGTGTGAGATTCCACTTTTTCATTAAAGCTTCTTTTTTATAGACACTAAGGGCTAGTATTGTGTCACGAAAGGCAATATTTCAGTCTTTTTTCTTCCTGGTTGTTTTGTTTCAGGAGCGCTGCCTTCCTTTCTGTGAGTTTTACTTCTACTAGCAAGTTTTCTTTCAAAATTGTGTGGCTAGCCTCTGTCCATCAAGCGCTTTTGAAATCTGAAATACTTCCTCAGAGGAGTTTGTTCGTAGGATTCTCAAGGCTCCTCGTTTGTCAAACAGGCGCTTTAACAGTTGGTGGGTGATAAGAGATGAAAATGTATATACTGTAAGGTTTCCGTTTCAAATGCGTCCTTACGTCAAGGATAGCTTTTTCTCATTTTTTCGCTGAATGTTGTACTTTGGTATACAACCGTTTCTAAAAAGAATGTCTCATTTTCAGATATTTCGGCCGTGAATTTCATAGTAGGGCATGTAAGTTTACTTGTTCCGCGAAGAAAGCTACGATGTGTGGTTTACTTATGTCCCATAGGGAAAAAATGTCATCTATGTAGCGTTTTCAAACAGTTGGTTTAAAGACGGTTTTGCTTAAACTTTGTGTTTCAATATGTGTCATGAAAATACTGGAAAGGAAACTGTTGTCTTTGTGCTCATCGCGGTACCGTGGGTTTGTACTGATAGTCCTTTACATTAAACGGGAAAGAATTTTCTTTGAAGATTAATCTAAGCAAGAAACGTTCGGTTTTTTCACCTTGACTTTTCAATAAATTTTATAAAGTCGGTAGCATCTTTAAGGTGTGACTTTGTGATTTTGATATTGGCTGTAGCAATGTACCTGTATCAACAACCAAAAAAGGAAATTCTTTCCCTTAGGCCATCTGATGACTCACAAATTTAAAAAGGTTACTTCCTCGAGCTAACGGTTAGAATAAATACAAAATGCTCTTTTTTCTGGAAACAAATATTGATAATATCAGCGCATGTCGGTAGTCGGTTAATTTTTTTCCCGTCGGTAGTCGGTAATTTTTTACTCATTTTGTCGGTAGTCAGTAATATTTTTCGCCCTTTGTCGCTAGTCGGTTAACCCCATTCAGACCCTCTTCTATAATAATCAATGATTATTAAAGAAATTCAAAGCTGAAGGTAGCTTTAGTATGCGATATCCAAACGCGCTATCCCTCACGGCTGTGGATTTTGCTTTCTCTTGATGAATTAAATTTATTTCTGAAAGAAATGACAGCTTATGGCTTATGGCCAACAATGCATTCTGACTTCCGTGTCATTGTACATTCGGGACATGTAAGTTCTCTAGCCATGAAAGCAAGGCACAAGGCTTTTGCTCGTTGTAACAAGAAATTTAGGGGGGAAAACATTCCCTTTCCTGCCTTTAGCTCTATTTTTTGTTTAGGGGATGGCTGGTTTACCCTCACCTTTGTTCTTAATGTTCTTGTGTATTTCCTCAGCTTTTTATTCCTTGATTAAAAAAACGGCCTCGCGAGGCAAAATTCATTCGGTAATAGATTGGTCATTATTAGGTGTCCCAGTAAAAAGAGCTCACCTTAACTAAGGGCGCGATCCATTCAACCAAAATTTCCAGAAATTTTGGTCCAAAACTCAATAGATCGGTTCGGTCCAACCGGAAAAGTTTCGAAAAAACTGGTCCACCTTTTGAGGTGGTCCTCTTTTCGCGGTCGGACCGGTCTGAATTTTGGTCGAATGGATCTCGCCCTAAGACTCCATCAACATCAGCGTGTTGTTCACATTTCGCACCCTTCCTACCTCTGCCCTAACTAACAAGACTAGCCACAATCTTTACCCTCGCAGAGTCGTGGCAAGCCTTTAGAAACTAGTGGGGCACAAAGATTTTAGGTTGCTCATAGTCATTGTATTTGAAAAGCAGAGGGTTTTGGCCCCGGACCCGTTGGACTGGTCTCTGTATCTTAAAACCAGTAAATGTTTCACCTAGCTGCACAGACATCATTGTGTGCTCTGGGAGATGAATTTTTATTTTCAACTTTTATGTGTAGTCTACATGTTTTGACTTTTGAGGCAAAAAAACTGGAGGTGGGGTACACGGCCACCCTTCCCTCCCTCCCAGCTCCACCTCGTTACCATCATTATCATCATAAGTGATTCGCAATTTTTATCATTCATTCCTTCTTCAGATGTTAACGCGAAAGATACATTCGGCAAGACACCGCTGCACAATGCTATTCTTGGCAAACACGTGACCATTGTGGACCTACTGCTCAAATCAGGAGCTGATGTGAAGTGTTTGGACGAGCGCGGTGACACGCCACTGCACAATGCCGTTAGAGTAAACAGTGAAGCCATTGTGGTGGTGAGCTTTTAAACAACCTGGTTCTCAGGGCTTTCACTCCTTATTACTGACAGAAAAGTCCTGGGAACCAGTTTGCTTTTTATACTTCTTAAACACCCGGACGTTTTCTCTCATTGTTAGTCTATTGTACAAACATCTTCGTATAATCCTCAGAAAACTTTGGAAATCTTCTGGAAATGAATGGAAGCACCTGTGTTATCTTCATACTGTATCTCCAAAACCTCTATGTAAACAGTGGCTAGAAACGTGAAAAAGCCTGAAGGGACCCTTTCCAGCTAGTAATTCACGAGGTACGACTGCGCCATGCTGGAGAGCAGTACAAGAGACGCAATGGGAGAAGACAAACAAAGGAAATTACAATTTTAAATGATATGAGCTCTTTGCTTGTCCTTCTATCAGTGCATCCCTTACTCTTCAGCATGGTGGTTTTGTACCACGTGACTGACTAGGTGGAAATAACCTATTGTTTAAGTTGAAATGCCCTGCAATTAGCAATTTTGAGGTTGTGTTTGATCGACTGGGTCAATGTGGTGCCAAATTGCCCTTTTAAACTGTTTAAGGAGACGAGCTTAGACCCAAATTTATCCTGCGCAACTTCACAATAGCCAGTAAAGGAAGTGTTAGTATCCCCACAACAGTCCCACAGTGCATTTCGACACAACAGCGACCCATTCCCACGCCCAAAATCAAACTGGCCAATAGTATATCCAGTAGAACGGAGACTGTGAAACGATCAACAGAAAATTCAATGAATGCGCCCTGTTGTCTGCGCTGCTTAGAGCTCACGGATTTATTCTATTTATTATTTTCTCTTTGAACAGCTGCTTCTAAATGACAGTAAAAGTAATTCCAACGCGAAGGGATTTGGCTCGTACACACCTCTACACATTGCTGCCCAAATTGACAGCGTGGATATTTGCAAGCAACTGGTAAGTAAAGAACATACACTCCTCTCCCTTCAGATGTACACCTTCTAAAAAAGCGGCACTCTTTTTTTAGCTTGGTGAGGACAATTGTCCAGGTTCAAGTGTTTGTCACTTACGATAAGCCAACAAGAATTGTATCCAGTAAACTGGACCTATCACTGACTCATTGATGTCGTAGCTTTAACTTATCGCATGCGACAAAGTTGTACCGTCCTGTTACCTCTCAGAACACAACAGAGGCACTGGCGACGAACGAAAGTACCGAAAATGGTGGATCCTAGTAGGACGCTATCTGCGTTTTAAAGCTGAATTTTAGATCACTTGTCCTTCTTAAAGGGATACACCTTGATCAAATTTCTATACTTGACTGCTCTTCTCAGGGGCCGGCCCCAGCACTACTCAGGCTGTCTACTGTATTTCCTTATAAGCTAAACCATACAGTTGAACAAGCGGAGCTACTATTAACAGTCCAATTAGCCAGACTTTTTACATCGTTTTCACATGACGTCACGGTGGCCATATTAGGGTCCCGAAACAATGTAAAGGGTTAGACCGTTTAGGTAAAAGGTACTAACATTTAAGACGAACCTTTAATGCAGAGTCTTTTCTTAGGTTGAGCACGAAGGCGATATCAGTCAGACAGCTGAAGATAAGATGACGCCATTTGGTATGGCAGTGTCCAAGGGAACACAATCTGTTGCTGAGTACTTTGTCAGTATTTGTAAGTGTCCTAATCTCACGTGATCATGATTTTCCCGCCATTTTTAATCCTTGCCGCCTCGTGTTAGACAAGTCTAACGCGGAATTGGGCCTTGTGGTAATCTATGAGTGACTAGCAAAATGTTGATGCTACAACGCATGCGTAACTAGCGTTTTTCAGTTTGAAGAGTGGAGGCCTCCCCAATTAACTTTCAACTATTTGATAATTTATTATCTTTGTTTCTTTCAGTGGACGAAAAGCAACTCGACAAAGACAATCTCCTTTGTAATGCTGATAATGAAGGAAGTACCTTGCTACATCTAGCAGTGGACAGCGGAATTCCACAGGTAAGTGCATGCGCAGCTTTAGAGTACTGTGTCATGGCTGCCTAGTTCATTTTTCTAACAATGCCAGTCTCGTGTCCTAATTCGCTATGGATCTTGAGAAATCGAAATTACTTGTGAATGACAAAATAACAGCTTCGTGTCAAACAAATATGTCTCATAAGCCTTATATCCAACGCCATAAAGAACAAAAACGAACTTTGAGAAACTGTTAGCCTCGTGCCACAGCTCCTCAGGCACCTGAAACTATGCTATTTCTTTCAGTTGATTTCATCAGCCTAAACCGGCCGTCTGAAACAAAACACAGTTGTCTTCTTTCAACTGAGAATTCGCATGGTCTAACGTATCGTCGATGAAGTAAAACTGGATCTTTTATAAATGTAAAACGTGTATTAGTTGAGAATTTTTTTTCCTCAGATCGTGTCACTGTGCCTGCAAATTGGAGCAAATGTGCGTCAAACGAAGGTAGTGGCCAATTACATCAACACTATCTTATCAGTTTAGCTTTTCCTCATCTCAGGAATTCGACTGTAAGAACTGAGAGCTCTGTAATGTGACTTATATTGTCGCGGCGCTACTGTGATCCCTTCCACGAAGAGAAGAATATTTAAACAAAATTGGAAGTGCGTCCCTCACAAACGTCTTTGCTTAAGCTCGCTAAAACAGAGCTGTTTCAACACAAAAATATATCCACTTTTGTAGGAGGCGGACAACAGTATAGCGTTTCATCTGGCATGCACACAAGGCTCACTGGAGATAGTTCAGCTGCTGGTTGGAGCAGACCGTGGTGTGTGTAAAGAAGAGATACTAGATGAGCAAGGAATGGTACCCCTTCATCGGGCAGCGCTGAACAATCACGCGACTGTTGTCAGCTACTTAGTAGATCAGGTATGACGTGTATTTTGTCTCTATATGACCGACGGACTGCAAACCAGCCCGTATTTTGGCGTTGGTCAAAAACGCGCAAGCAGTAAATCAAAAGGTCGAGGGTGAAAAGGAATGAGTTACAATAAAGAATAATCCCGAGCATTTGTTAAAAATGTGGTACCATCCGTGGCATAAAATTCACAGCTACAAGGTGAAGCGTATGAGGTCCACTGGCTACCATTCTTTCTTGCTATCATTTATATAACGTAAAGTCGACCTAAGTGACTGTAAGACCAGCTACAGTTGGATGTGGAAAGGTCTTGATCTACCACTCAACCTCCCCTCCTCCCCGTCCCCGCCAATTTAACACATCGTACAACAGACTACAATTCTTTCTATTATTGTATCGACCACCAGGTGGTCCGTACGAGTACGAAGTCCGACAGTACTAAAGTAGACGAGGGTATGTAAGTGTAAGTTCCTTCTCTTTTCAGGGTGCTCCGGTGGATCCTCGAGACATTCAAGGTCGCACCCCCCTTTTCTTAGCTGCGTCAGCCGGTGGAACAGCTACTGTTCAATTACTAATGGACCGGGGGGCCGATGTAACACTTAGAGATGTGGAATTGCGCTCACCCTTGCACGTAGCAATTGCGGATGGAAATTCGTCCACCATGGAAGCCTTACTCAAGGTAATACGTTTGGTAATTAAGCAAAAAAATGGTTACTTACATGGTTAACCTCCTCCCGGTTAGCTCAGTTGGAGATTCGCGCTGTGATTTCAGATCTTCTGTCAGTTCAGATGTTCGTGGCATTGGGCGGTAACGTTAAGCTGTTGGCCTTATCCTCGTCATCCTTTCTTATCAGTTGGAAAGTGATGTAAAAGAAGCCACCCTGCTGTTAGAAAAGAGTAGGGAATGTAGACCCCGGTAGTGTGGTCTATCTCGCCTGAGGGTAGAGGACTGTTGCCGGTCCCGCAGTAATTGGCTTTGAGGGTCCCTTTTAAAATGGCGAATCAAAATAAATGATTCAACAAATGATTTAGCCGTTCGGCGGAACTGGACAAAGATGTACCATGTAACAAAAGTGCTGATCGGTTTGACCGAGTTTGTGCCTATCCTTGCCCCTTAATCCTCATGAGTAAACAGCAATTTCAGCCATAAGAGGCAATTTACGCTCTTTGTTTTCAAAGCATATTTGTGCGGCCTCATAAACAAGCCGCGGGCGGACCGGCGCTATGCTATTCCCGAGAACATAGTTGGGAAAAACGTTTCCTAGAATCGCTTGATTCGCTCCTAGGATCTGAAGAACTAGCGCTCAAACCATCATCATTGAATTTGTTTACAATGACATATTTGCTTACCAGATCATTTACAGCTACATTATTTTTATCTGTTATCTTAACTTATAGAGTCCTGCGGCGAAGGCGTTGGTGGTTGATAAGGACATTACTGGATACACCCCAGTGCATTACGCTGCACGGGCTGGTTACTTGCAGGTAAATGTCCTTATTATCGAGGTAAGGTATTTCTAAATTCCATTTCATATCACAAAAAGCAACGCTCTACTAGCATCTCAGAGCTCTCGCATCAATATCCTCACGATCTAACTGACAGACGATCAATAACATGGAGACTTAACTTGCCCAAACAGGTAACTAACTAGTCGAAAATACAGCAATTGACTATACACAATTTACTCTGGTGACTCTGACGTTGAATTACTCGCAAACGTCATTCACTGAAAAAGTCCTTTTCTGGACTACACACACGGACAATCATATTCAGCCTATTAACTTAACGGGGCTGTGTCACGGCAGTCCAGTTCATTTTGTTTAATTTTGCCAATTACTCGCCCTCAATCGCTATGGAACTTAAAGTAAGCAAAGAAATTACATGTAAATGTCAAGATTAGAGATCCGAGACAAACAAATATGACTCCTGAGCATTATTATTGAAGTTGCAAGCAGCAAGGATCAACTTTGCAAAACTGTTAGGCTGAACCGTTTTCAAAAACCCTAATTTCAATCTGTTCCAATCTTCTTCAGTTTTGCCCATCCATGGGATCTGTTGTTTCTGTTATGCTATTTTAACCTTCCTTTAAAGTTTTAAGCTGTTATTTTTATGTTTCTCTTAATTTTACGGGCATTTTGTAATTTCCTAATTTGGCTGAATTTCGTGACACAGCTCCTTTAATAATTGTTGTTTCTGTATCTGCAGCACATCGCTCTCTTCATCAACAAGAACAAGGCGGCTCGTCAAGTGACGTCAGACTCATTGGATACACCTCTTCATATCGTTGCTCGGTACGTTTTGCGGACCAACGAGAAAATCTAGGCGGATGGCTTATTATAGCAAATCAAACGCTTCATGACAACGTATCAATTTATGTAAACGTTAATTTCCGCCCCATTAGTAAAGTGGAGAGTTAATTATCGCGACTTTAATGTCTATTATTTTGGCCTCAACTTCTTGATACACTTTTGATAGTCTTGACCTTATGAAAGAGGAGTACAGTGTTTTATATCCTGAAATGGTCTATGCAAACGCGCTCTTTTAAGGAATTTGTTGTCGAACTTAAATCAGTGTTTGCTTTTTTCAGGTATGGTTGGCTGCAGATTGCTGAAGTATTACTGGAGAAGAGAAATGTCCGAATAATCAATTTACAAAATAATCAGGGAAAAACACCTCTTCATTACGCTTGTCACGAAGGGCATGAGCATATAACCAAGCTTCTGTTGATGGAGGGCGCTACGCTTGAAAGGTAATATAAAGATGACTACCTTGCAAAATTTAGCTGCGCCATGTTACCCGCAAATGTTGACCGATTCACTTTCATAAATTTGCAAAAAAGGAAGTTTTTCTTCATGCACTATATAACAAACCACTTAATGAGTGATCTCGCGCGAAATAAGTTTAATTTATTGTCCTCGAAACTCAGCAATGCGGTGCTCGAGAAACAAACTAAACTCTCTCCCACTGACTAGTCGTTCTATGGTGAATATGACATGGTTTTTCGCGTGACAGTGGCCCTTCATTAGTCCGGCTATCTTGTTCTGAGTATTAGCTTTATAATAAAAACCACGTATTTTGACTGATTTCCCTCGTCAATTTATTATCAGAGATCATCATGACCGCACACCACTTCACATGGCTGCTGTCAATGGCTCCGAGCGCTGTGTGGAGTACATACTACAGGCTCACCCTGAGAGTCTCAACGCTCTTAATAAACATCAGGTGCAGTGTAACGAAACTGACTATAGGTACTATCAATTGGTTGCATCCGAAAAGCGTATTCCTAATGGAGTCTCTCGCAGCGCTTCTCTCTGTTTTCGACGTTTTTGAGCTGCTCCCCACTCCTCTCAGTTTTTTTTTCCCAGGGGCTCTCTCTCCGACGGGAACTGGTATCTATTTTGAACTTCTCTAGCTCATAGTCATGATCATGTAGTCAAATCACTTCCCTACTCCCCCTGCCTGTCTGACGCACTTGCGGATCAATTAAGGTTTTCTGGGAAACTGCCCACCTTCCCCTCCCCTAAGCAATCGTGAGGAGTAATTCTTAATGTTAGCTTAGGGGTGGGGGAGGTGGGCAGTTTCCCAGAAAACTAAATTTATCCGCACTTGCAATAGCCCACGCTCGATATTTGAAAATTCTAACATGACTCCGAGGCTTTAGGGTGACTAGAAAAGAGTTTTTTTAAAAACAAAAGCAATAAGCTAAAGGCATGTTGTCAGGATGGCCGAGCGGTCTAAGGCGCTGCGTTCAGGTCGCAGTCTACTAGCTCTTGTAGGCGTGGGTTCGAATCCCACTTCTGACACGTTCACGTTTTTGAAACTCTATCTTTTTGTTTTTGTTTTTGATGTTGTGATGGTGGTTGTTGTTGTTGTTTTATTAAAATCTGGTAAAATTGTTCAAAGGATAAAGGAATCGAAAAAGACTTCTTTCGTCGTTACACAGGCAAAACCTTCAGCCGTTGAACTTTCGTTTCACGAGGACATACGGTATTCTGCTTATCCTTGTCATTGTAAATAGAATGTTTAGGCTGTCACTCGTATGTCAGGATGGCTGAGCAGTCTAAGGCGCTGCGTTCAAGTCGCAGTCTACTCTTGTAGGCGTGGGTTCGAATCCCACTTCTGACATTATTTTATAAAAATGTTTGAAACTCTATTTATATTTTTATTTTTTTTTCTATTCAGAACACGGCCCTGAACTTGGCTGCAACTACTGGCCAAGCATCTCTCGTGTCATATCTGCTGTCCGTAAAAGAACAAGAAATCCTGTTAAACAAGTATAACCAGAATGTGCTGGACCTTGCCATATCCAACGACAAAGAAGAGGTTGCGATGGCCATAATTGAACATAGCAGGTTGGTACTAAATGATTTCTCGAGGTGCGCAAGGAAGAGCTCTTTGTAAAGACACAGCCTTTGGCGGAGAAAACCTCGAAATCACGACACGCGAGGTATACACGCGTGAATCCCTCGTGCGGCTTGAATTTGAAATGCGCTTACTATGCAGGCTAGTATTCGAAGTTTTTTTTGCTAGTCTTGTCTGCAAATGGGACTAATAAATGACGTGGTTGCCAAGCTGCACACCATAATTTTTTACAGCGGAGCACCATGGAAGGAAATTTGGTTCTCTTTGTATCCAAGAAATTTTGATTTGGACAAAATTGTGCGTACGTGCGTCCGCCCCTTCATGTTAGAGGATGTGTTATGTCTTACTTACTAGCTTTAAAGTCTAAGGTATATACATACTGTGTTTAACTTACTATTAAATGGACATCCATGTTATGATCGTTGACAGCTGTCATAATAGGGTATCCGCTGACCAGTGTCACATGACTGTATCGCGAGCTCACTGAGGTGACGTATTTTTAAAGTTATCCGCTTATTACTTTTCAATTGATCTAGGCACAAGTCCATTTTTAAAGGAGGAATTCAGTTCGCTTCTTGCTAACGGCAAAAGTTGAATTACTTAAGAAATAGGTTTCTTAACAGATCCCTCGAGAGCTTCGCTTTTGGTCTTGACTGGATATCTAGTTACTGTGAATAACTAAGTATTCTATCTGTCCTAAATCATAGGTGGAAAGAGGTGATTGACACCACTGAAGGCGGAGGTGTATCTCAGATTCAGACACTTGTGGCAAAAATGCCTGACGTAGCAGAGGTATGTACACTTCATTCTCAAACTTACTTTTAATTCATGAAACGAAAATAAGAAACTCACCACATGAGTCCAGGGGGAACTCCCATATCAAAGATACCGGGATGCTCGTCGGAGAGTTAGCCGGCTCCATTAAATCCCATACCAACTGTAGAACATTTTATATCATATGTAACAATTAGCAATTATTGGACGAGGTTGAGCAAAATATCGTGATCAGCAGCTCCACTAATTGGCTTCGGCAAGTAATTGATCTGCGAGACACTGACAAATCACGAAATTTGGCGAGTTCATTCGATCACCGAGTTTGTTTTTTTTTAATGAACATCATCGGGAAGCGAAGCGATCTGCCATTTTTCATGCAAGAGCGATCACAAGAGGGAGAAAAGCACGGTTTCCTTTACGTATGTGCAGAATATTATTTGCAGCCAAACACAGTTGACGGCATTGCGCATGAGCACACCATTATTTGTAGGCAGTTATTTGCAGGTCACGTGGTGGGCCCTCGGTCCATGAAAAAGAAGAAACATTTGCATCGAATGATAATAGATATTTGCCACAACATTTTGCTGCCTACTTTTACGCGGTGAACGTCGTGTTTGGGACACAATGTGCATTGCCGTATCTTGTAATCCTTCTCTTTTTTAACTGACTTCAAACAAATTTCATTGCTTTCTTTTGAAATTACTCACTGGCTGACGTTTTTTCTCCAGCGCGTTTTAGACAATTGCATCGAACAAGATGGAGATCCAAGCAGTAAAGATTTCAAGGCAAGATATCGAAACAATGCTCTTTTACTTTAGTCATTTTACATTATTGAAAAGTGTTTAATTACCTTCACCTCCCCGAAAATTCTCCTTTCTCCCGTTTAGTCCACCATACTATTTGATGTACATGTACAACATAATAGTGAACGAGACCATAGAGAAGCTTACTGCGCAGTTCATAAGCCGCCTTCACAATTGCGTTTTTCGCTGCCGTCAATCATAATTACGACCACAAGCAACGAACCTTGAAACACAGAAACACACAAAACGGATCGAGATCCACCAATCACAAACCATGACCTTTTGAACCCGTTAAAGTAAAGTTTTGTTTCCTAAGAGGTCCGTTAACATGATTGACGGCAGCGAAAAACGCAATCGTCAGTTGGCTTTTAAACTTCAAAATTCGCATGTTTGTGAAAAGCGCAGTAATTTATCGAGCTTTCCTTGTTTCCAATTCGAATAATGGATATGATGGCTCTGCATTTGTTAGGTAACATACGATTTAAGGCTAATACAAGGGAAGCAGAGCACGACAAGTCCATTGGAACACTCTCTCGACGCGCTTAAGGTATGAAATTCCCCAAGCTTTCTGCTAGTGATAAACGTTATTGCTTGAAATCTGTATGATTGCGTTAAAAAGGTAACTTCCAGCTAATTCGTCAGAATGGCCGAGCGGTCTAAGGCGCTGCGTTCAGGTCGCAGTCTACTCTTGTAGGCGTGGGTTCGAATCCCACTTCTGACATTATTTTTATGCTCCATGTTCCTTTAGATAGTATTATTGAATCAGTTATTGCTGTTGGTGGAGTCTTGCTTTGGGTATTACTTTTTTATATCATTATTTTTTCATTCTCCTGCAAGTGTTCTACAGTTTTTCTGGTTTTGTGTTCATTCTTATTTTTTTCCGTAATAGCCCACGTTCGATATATTAAAATTCTAACATGACTCGGAGGCTTTAGGGTCAAAATTGCAAGTTTTTCACTACTCCATTGTCTCGCATTTCCCAAAAGAGAATTAAAAGCACAAAGAAAACCAAACCAAATATAGAGAAAGAACCAGTAGCCTCGGAGTCTTGATAGAATTTTAATATATCGAACGTGGGCTATTCGTGATTACTGTCCGTAAGTATTGTGGTGATGACATGTGTTATTTTTGGAGACGCAGTTGACTAGAAAAGAGTTTTTTAAAAAACAAAATCAATACGATAAAGGCATGTTGTCAGGATGGCCGAGCGGTCCAAGGCGCTGCGTTCAGGTCCCAGTCTACTCTTGTAGGCGTGGGTTCGAATCCCACTTCTGACATTATTTTATGCCTTGCAAGTGTTCTACATTTTTCTGGTTTTGTTGTCATTCTTATTTTTTCTTTTTTTTTTGATTTATTCCCGGTCTGTTCTTCTTTTTAAGACCATGGCAGAACGACGGCGGGAGAGATGTTTGACTCACCCTGTGTGCTACGTCCTCATGAATATTAAATGGTTAGTTTCTCTGTTCTTTCCTGGGTTTTATGTGTTATCCATTTTCTGTCAGCTCACTCCGGGTTTGTTTTCCTCGTTTTGATTGGCCAAAAAAAATTCGCGCCACCTTCTTAGCCAATCATAGACAACTTAACAAGCAATCCTGAGGTGCGCGCTCACTCGAGTGATTTAAGGCATGGCTCCTCGCTTCATTTTGGGCTTTTATCATTTTTTCTTGTTTTGTCTGCCATCTCTTTTCATTTTTACTTAAACATATGTGCTTAACACTGGAACCATTTTTGGACCTCACACTGAGCCTCTTAAGGTCACGTGACCAGCCGCGCCCATAATTATGCAAAATTTAGTATTTTTAGATTACACCAACCATTAGTTTATCCAGTAGAACGGAGACTGTGAAACGATAAACAGAAAATTCAATGAATGCGCCCTGTTGTCTGCGCTGCTTAGAGCTCAAGGAGTAAT